TATATATATATATATAAATGTCCCAATTCATTTTGTGGGATCTAAAAATTGTACTACAGGCAGCCACCAGAGGGCACTTATCCTTTGCTGGCTTAAACTTCTTTTCTCTAGTTATGCGCCTTAGTTTTGAATAAAAAAAATTGTATTAAACAAATGCATCATGTTTGTACTAGCAGATTAGCAGTAAGCTCATCTGAATCTCTCTCAATACAAGGAACATTTCCTGTTATTTCATGTTGCTCTCACCATGACCAGGTTCACAAGAGACACTGCGTTAAGGCTGATGCTCCACAGCCACATGACGCCGAACATGTTGACCAGGATCATGGCGATCGTGATGCTGACCATCACCGCCGACCACAACTCGAAGCCCAGCAGCACGGTGGTCACCACGAATATGGCGCCGAGTGAGATGCACAGGTTCAGAGCTGTGTCGTAGGCGATGGTGAGGTACTGCTCATAAAACACATAGAAGACGCTGAAAAAGAGGAAAAACATCAGTTAGTACAAAACATGGCAAGATTGGTCTAAGCCACTATTCTAATATATTCACGGTTCCTACAGTTTAAGGCAAGTTAAATTTAAGACTTTTTAATGCCAAGTGAAGTTTAAATTTAAGACCAATTTCACAATAAACACAAATGACAACAAATAAATAAATAAAAACTGTGGCAGAAACTCATGAATCAAAGTATTTTTGGTTGAAGTATGCAAATATTGCTAATGGACCAATTGTTTTATTCATATCTAACTGCTTTTTCATCAAACATAGCAAAAACATTCTTAGCAGTCAGTTTTATACTTAATTTAATTTCTGGAAATCTTCTAACGACTTAAAATTTGGAGTTTCAGGACCCACAGCGGGGTCTTAATCCCTAATTGCTGTAGATGAAACCTTAAAGTTCCTGTGACATCAAATTTTTGTAAGAGGTGTGAATGCATTTTTGGAAAGACAACATTATTAACATTTTACAAAACAAATTTCACATTGCTCTTATGGACAGTTGTTGAGATATTTGCATGTGAAATAACAGGAAGTGATGTCAAAGGGGAAGGTCGGCTTGTGAATATTTAAAAAATAAATAAATGTTACTAATTATTTTAATGTTTGAGAGTCATTAAAGTCATCCTATTTACAATGCATTAACATTTTTTAAGACTTCTGAAAGATTGATTTAAGACATTTTAAGGATAATTTTGGCTTTATTTTTGGATTGATGAATTCAATGCCTTTTAAGACTTTTTAAGGATCCGCAGGAACCCTGTATATTGTATATTTCAATATAGGACCCAGCAGCCACTTATTTTGTTTTATTTGAGGTTTGCAGATCCTTTTAAAAAGGTATTTTAGTGATGATGTAGTATTTTTTATAAATATAATGTTAGAAAAAGTAAAAGCTAATGCAGTAGTTCTGGTCAAACATTAGCTTTTTTGGCATTTACAGAGTTTTTTCCTGCTGTGTCCTTATCTGTGACCTATTTTCTCCCTCTGATATCTTTAAACTGTTACCACACAACAGGCAAAAACTCAATTTCACAAACATTTTCAAAACTCCCACTGAAACAAAAAACACTTAAAGTCGAAGGGAACTCTCACAAACAAAAAAAAAAGGCAACTATTTATGGTTAGTCCAACAGAACCCACCTGTAAGCAAAAACTTTGTGATCAATGGACTGGCTGATATTGCTAGCCAGGGCTCGAGCCATTTTTAAAGCATCTATATAATCCGGGGACTCCTTTAGGATGGTGTGGTACGTCATGAAGTATGTGGCTCCCACACCCGTGTCATTGGGATACACGTCCACTGCTGTGGCATAAGTTGCATGGCCTCTGAGGGAGTGCATCATGGGAGAGGAAGAGAAATGTCACTATCCAAATTTTCAAAGGCTTCAGTGACACATGAAGTATTTTCTATAATAATAATTACCCTTTTCCACATTTGAAATTAGGATTATCGGACAAGAACATGGGTAGAAATCGCATGAAGTCTTCTCCAACAGGTCTCTGCTTCCCACTTGGAGTCATGGGTCGACACGACACACAGGAAGAGTTCACCACTAAAACAGAATTAGAGATAGAAATTATATTAGAAAACTTTATAAATGTCAAAACTGTTCTACGGGGTTTAGTTTCTACTATAAATCTGCATTTCCARCAGCTTTTTTACAAACAGAAACTGCACATCATTGTCTTTAGATAATGGGAGAAAACCAGTAAAGCCACCCCAGTTATTTTATAGATTTAGAGATAGAATTTTACCTGAGGCATTGCAGAAGGCCCCCGTTTCATTGTAGAAGCGACAACAGGTTGATTGAGGTTTCACCCAGTCAAAGTAGTCATCCAACCAGGAGGACGGTGTGCTGGCAATGGTTGTACTGAAAATGCAGATTAGATTAAATCAGTTTTATTTGAGGCTGGTGGGGGTGTATTGGGGTCTGGG